AGTGCCAAGTACATGCCAGGTGTTTCCTTGAACATTTACATATATTGTTTTATTTCATTATCCCAATCACCCTCTGAATGATGTGCAGTAATGCTTTACATCTTTGAGAACAGGAAATGAAGATTTTGAGGCATTGAATAACTAATATGAGATCACATAGGTTGCAAGTGGATGATGAAATCTAGTGCTTGTAATGGCTCCCAGATAACCCGATTCTAGTGTTTGCGTCCCCACTGAGGTGGCCACTATCCTGAGGAGTCCCTTTAAAGGAATAGGGACCAAGATGTGGCCCTGGGGCTACACATTCAGACAAGGACCTCTATGAAAGAACTCCTCCTGGACTGTGGTGCTCATGACACCCTTTGATTCCCAGCCCCCCTAACCTACTACTATGGCTCTGGGTCACTTAATACAACCTGCACTGAACACAGTCAACATTTTCATGCCCTCCTTTCCCTGCTAATTACCTCTGAACATAATGACCTGGTTGTATTCTGGCTCTTGCCTGTGTCTTGAATGTGACCAACCTAGAGAGCGTAGGTCCAGTCTATACTACACAGTAGGCTGCAGACACCAACTCCTCGTCTCCGTTGCTCACACTCAACAGCAGACATATGAACAGTACATTATGACTGAAGAATGAGGCATTATATGTTTAAAGAAGGAGGCTTAAAATATTTTATTTGAGAACATACATTGATAATTGGACAACACAAACCTATGGAGTCTGTATGTATAAGGACAATATAAATTCTTATCATTTGAACAGTCACTGCAGTAAACAAATAAATTCATTTTAACATTGGGAATTATCCATAAAGTATATATTTTTTCAATAATTTATTCATTTGCTTAGGAATATGTACATTCAGTTCTTAAAAGAGAAAGAACATAAAACCAACATGATTTTTTTTTACCACATCACGTAAACAAATGGACCTGTAAAAATGGTGTGTAGAAAATTCAGAAACATTTAAATAGCACATTCCAAGGATACCAAGTCCATGTAAAGGGAATGCAATATTTTGAAGCCATTCTAGACAGCCTGGGTGTCATATATATACATCAATACAAAACGGTGCAGATAATTCAAGTATAACAATTCACACGCATAAACATTTTAATCTGATGCAGGAGAGAGGTCTCCCTCCTATAGCATAGAGCACATTCTAAGCTCTCAGCATGTTTCAAAGATTTTTTTAACATAGAAGAGAAGGTAATGAGATCATCAACTCAATTGACTAAATACCAAACCTGGACAGGTGGACATGTTTGTGAAAGGGCATCTCACAGGGACCATACTTATTGCATAACTAACTGCAAAGCCTGTAGGAAAACCATAGTTTGCTAAAATCAGTTAGGAGTCCATAGTTGCTTTGCCGGCAACATGGAAATGTGTATTGTGAGCAGCTCTAAGGAGGGTGCAAGCAGAAAAGCTACAGCAAGCCAGGAAAAGTCACAGGGTTCATGTTTAAATGGAATCAGCCTTATTTACTAAAATATGGTTTAATTTCATAGAGAAAATGACCTCAAATCTGTCTTTCCTGGCCCTGGCAAGTCAAGCCCTGCCTAATTGCCAGTTGACTGTAAAATGCAGTGCCAAGTCTTTTGCTTTGGCTGCTCTCCCCCCACCCCATGCTGCATTTGGTTTATAATAAACCACCAGGCTCCCTTCACTAACATAAGCTCTGCCTTAGCCTGCTCTGCTGCCCCTTCCAAGGTGGTATGGAAGGCATTCATTGGAGCAGTGCAGTGATGGAATTATTTTCTGCATTTTTTGTAGGACAAAACTCTTTCTTTTAAAGTGTATGACATAATGTTCTCTTGCTACAAATAATTAACTTTCAATAACAATGAATTGCATTGTATATAATTTTCTTGTTAAAACATCCAAAGAATTTTGGTTATTTTCATGAACTTGTTACCTATGTTTGATGAGCAAGAAAGAGAAATCTTCCTTCCTTCCTTCTTTCCTTCCTTCCTTCCTTCCTTCCTTCCTTCCTTCCTTCCTTCCTTCCTTCCTTCCTTCTTCCCTTCCTTCCTTCCTTCCTCCCTTCCTTCCTTCCTCCCTTCCTCCCTCCCTCCCTTCCTCCCTCTTTCTTTGCTTTCTCTTTTTTTCTGTCCAGTCATCCCACTGTAATGCTGTGCTGAGCCTTCAGAAAACAGAATCAGGTCACTGGAAAAGCGAAGCATTCGGATTTCAGCCAAGCCAAGCAGAGTGGCTCTCTCAGGAAAGCCCCTGTATTTACAGTGCTGGTTCTTCCTGTGAACTCTCTCTAGGCTTAAGAGAACAGCAAGAAGAAAAGCAACTGGGGTTTGCCTGTGGGGCTTGGAAGATGGGGTCCACAGGGCCAAATGGCTCCCAGGCTGATTACCCTGTGCCTGGCAGACTGAAGTGGGGCAACCCCAATTCCCCTGGTGAGGTTTGCCAACATTGGATCTTTGCACTGTCCTCCCTCGCTAGAAACAACTCTATTTTGTCCTTCAGGGTCCCACAAAAGGTTTCCCCATTGAAGAAGCCTGATGCAGAGGCTGGGAGGGTGTTTTCCTCCTAACTCCCAGGTATTGCATGGAAACAGAAGTCACAACGCTTGTCATGCCCTGCTGTGCTAGCTAACTTGCCAATGCCCTCCACAGACCACAGCAGCTGTCAGAACGAGGACTGCCTGTCCACCCTTGTTATTCTCTACTCCCTGGTGAATTCTGCAGCCTGGGTAAAGAACTCAGAGTAGGTCAGTGCAGAGCAGCTTCCTTTGGAGGAAGGCACTGTGTTTTGCAGCATGGCTTCTTCTAGTTCTATGGGTGTGCTAGAATCCAGGGCACTAGCTTTTCTGAATGCAACAGGGAGAGTTGTACTAAGCTGACTTTCAAAAACTGAGCTGTTGTTCCAGTGCTGACACTAGTGAGGTATCAGATTTGTGCTGCAGTCAGATGGTTGCTTGATATGGAGGGATTCATGTGCCAGGCACAACTTAGCTGTTCCTGAGAGGCCTGAAAAGGACACGGTCACAGTAGAGGTGGCTGGGATGTACCCCTCCAGGGGGCAGTTAGAACAGCAGTCATGGACAGGGAGCTGTTTTGTGGAATGGGTATATATATCCTATTATAAAGCAACATTGATTGCTAGGCATGGTGGCACACGCTGCTAATCCTAACACTTGGATGGCTGAGGCAGGAGGACCTTGAGTTCAAGGCCAGTCTGGACTACATAGTAAGATTCTGTCTCAAAAAATAAAAAACTAAGGTATATTGACCTTAATGTATCACATTATACTTTTAATATCCTAGATATCATGCATCAATGTGATAAAATTTTATTCTACTGTACAGTAAGAATTCTTACTCCAAATCCAATGTGTACAGCTCTCCAAGTTTGGATTGAGACCCAGGCTCGTCTCCTCACCAGTCAGGCTGCTCACATGCTGCTGCCTGTGGGGTCACACTTCACCTTCCTTCCTCCCAGCACCAAGAGAACTGGAAATTCTTCCTCATCATTTGGGTCACCACCAGTGCCTTTACCCTTCCAATAGCTTAGCAGCTGCTTCTTCAAACCCTGAAGAAAATGGCCATGGACTATGTTTATCCAAGGACCTCATCCCCGAAAGTGACTTCTTCCCTTTGTATAAATCAAGTTTGAGATTCTGAGCCATGAGAGACCGTGTGGCAGGGGATGATGTCAAGTTCCTGCCAAGGACAACTCCTGAGCCCGGCTGAGTGATGTAGACCTTCCCATTGGGACGCCTGCTCAAGAAGGCTTTGGGAGACCCTTTCCATGAGCCACAGAAATGCAGGGACTTGTGTGGAATTAGAATCAAGCTTGTGCCCCGGGGCTCCCAGAATCCAGACTCAGTTCCTGCTGAAATCAAAATGCCTCTGTCATGGTGGGATTTGCTGTTTGCTTTTGTAAACATTTACTTCTGACAGTTGCCAAGCAGTGCTCAGCCCGCTTCCTCAGATGGCTTGAAATGCAAGGTTCATGTGAGATGCTGTCCCTTCTTTCACAGATGAAAACTTCTTTCTTATAATATCAGTCACAAACACACACATGCACCCCCACACACATACACTTCTAATGCAATAACTGCAGTTCATACAGTGTCTTTTGGGGACAGCACTGATAATGTAAATACTTTCTAATGTCAAGTAAGTAGACAGTGAGAGAGACAAACACCAGCCCTGGACCTGCATTCTCTGGGTGACAACCACCCAGAACTTGGAGGAAAGCTTCAAAGTAGTGCAGGTAGCCTGGTCTTTAAAAATCAAAACAAAGAAAATGTGCCATGTAGTTGTGTTTTTTGGAGGGGGCTGGTAAGGAGGTGCTGAGAACAGAAGTAGTTCCTCACAGCCTTGGCTTGGGCTGACAGAGACCGGAAGTGGTTC